CTAGTGGAATAACTTTTTAATATCAGCTCAGAATTTTTTTCTGAAACTGATACATTGCTTACCCTTTTTGGTCTGCTATCTCTTAGTTTTTTTTTTTTAAGATATATTTTTATTTGTGTGTCTTTGTGTATGTATGCAGTGTGTGTGTGTGTGTGTGTGTGTGTGTGTGTGTGTGTCTATGTGTGTACCTGTGGAGGCTTCAGGTCCTATAGAACTGGGGTTACCACACCGTTGTGAGCTACCCAATTTGGGTGCCTGGAACCCAACTCAGGCCCCCTGGAAGAGCTGTAAATGCTCTTAACCACTGAACCATTTCTCCAGCTCTTGGGTTCTCTTTTAATTAGCTTAAGTTTAAATTTTGGATTCTAGAGGGAGGGTAGAGTGAGTAGGAAGAACTGGCCTGTCCTGACTCAAGTAGATGGTCAGTCTCTTCTTTGAGAGGCTGTAAGGCTCATCATCATGGCCTTTTGGGTTAGTTGAGCCCTGTTGATTATTATAAGTGGTTAAAAACACTGGACTTTAGATACCTGCTCTTCTGCTTCTCCTGCAAGTGCTGTCCATGGTGTCGAGTGGTATTTTTTCTTTTAGGCCTGCCTCTGGAGATGGAGATGTGAATTTTAGCTCCAGCCCCCATTCCCTAGGGTGCTTGATAAGGAGTTTGATACACAAAATGGGTGAGTCCCAAGTATGAAATCTCACAAGTCAGCATTAGGGTGAAATTTTGTCATAAGAAAAAAATGTAATGGCAAACCTGTCAGCTGTTTCAGCTTTTTTGTTAGCTTGTTTGCTTTGAGGCAGAGTCTCATTCCTCCCTGGCTGGCCAGGAGCTTGTTATGTACATGAGATTGCCTGGAGCTTGTAGGGATCTTCCAGTTTCTGCCTCCCGGGTCCCAGGATTGCAGGTGTGTACCATCATGCCAGCCGTGGTGCCCTTTCAAAATAAGCAGTAAAGAAGTACCTGGTGTAAGGGATCATGTCCTCGATTGGTTCTGCCAGGCACCTGGGGACCCTGTGCATGGTGCTCTTCAGCTTTCTGGTGTTTGCATATGGAGTTTCTTGTGTTTGTGCTCGATGGTTTTGACCACACACACAAAGCCACAAGCTTCTTCGGTTGAGATTAAAGCACCCTACAAGACTCTTTAGATTAGCCGTCTCCTGGGGATCCTGTCAGTCCAAAGAATGTGCTCTGGAGATCCATGCAGCTGTTGTAGTGGACAGTCCATTGGCACCAAGGAATGGCTAGTTATGTTGGAGCTTAGTATGCTAGCATTTGTGTGGAAATGATTTAGTAGTTATTTTATCTTAAATTTTTTTACGCGTGTTTGTGTGTGTGTGTGTGTGTGTGTGTGTGTGTGTGTAGGTTAGAGGACAGCTTTTTAGAGTAGGTTCTCTCCCACTACCATAGGGATTTCGGGAATCAAACTCAGGTTTAGCCTCAGGCTTGGTGGCAGGTGACTTTACCTCAGTGGGAGCTATCTTGCTGGCCCTATTTTTTTCTTGTTTTTTTTACACCCCCCCCACCTGGTTTGGACAATAACATGAAGGCATTTATTAAATCAGCATGTTTGTTAATTCTACATTCATATGTGAAACACAGCATTACAATATATGATTGTACAATGATCTCAACTTGGGGAAAAAACCCTAAGAAAAACAAATAAAAGCCATAAAACAGAATATAAAACATCCTTAAAAGGCCACAAAAATAAAGGTAAACCAAAAGAAAAAGGGAAAAGAAAGATGCTATTCGAATACTGCCAGATAAATAATGAAAATAGATTTTTCTGTCTTTGAAAAATCTATAGTAATGAATGTACCAGCCTATAGGAAATGATACTCAGAAAATAATTAAGAGGGTAGGATTTAAAGAAGAAACAAGGAATAATAGGAATTTATTTAATTTTATTTTAAGATTTCATTTTTCATTTTATGTGTATGGTGTTTTGACTGCATGTATGTAAGTGCACCACCTGTATACCTGGCCTGGTGCAAGTGGAGGCTGGAAGAGGGCATTGGATCCCCTGGAACTGAAGTTAAGGACAGGTGTTAGCCACCATGTGGGTGCTGGGAACCAAACCCACGTCCTCTGCAAGAGCAGCCAGTGCTCTTAACTGCTGAACCATCTCTCCAGCCCCAAGGAACTGATTTTTATGAGGCTGGATCTACAGCCAAGATGGGCTACTTTTTCTGTGAAGTGCTGTTTGGTGACTGTTCCATGCTTTTTGGTCCCCAAGGCAGCCCTGGGGTACCTCCCTTACTGGACTCTGCCCCAGGGCTCAGCTGACACTGTGTCTAAAAGCAGCCATGTAAATGACAGGTGTGGCCGTGCTCCTCTGGAACTTCATTTGTGAACTATGGCGTTCAAGTTTCATATTATTTTCATGAGCCATGAATTACTCTTTTGAGACAGGATCTCACTAGGATGATGTTATATGACTTTTCCTACAGACCTTTCAGGCAGCATGGTAAGGAGACTCCCCTCCCGGAAGTCTCAGTTCCTGCTTCTACAACCTTGGAGAGAGCCCTTGTGACTCTTGTACTTTCTGAGTTTCCCGAGCCTGTTAAAGTTTCATGAGCTTCCTGAGTCTTAACAGTCCTCTCTTCCTAGAGGAGGGAATGTTCCGATTTCAACAAGAGTTGCTGAGGTTAGCTTGGACTCAGTAGGCTCTTGTCTTAGACTACTGAGTGCTGGGATTACAGTAGTGCACCACTGTGCCTGGCTCCAGAGATACTCTTTTTTGTGTGTAGATTGAATCTAGACTGGAGATTGAATCTAAAGCCTCATACTTGCCAGCACAGCACCCCCCTTTTATTAGGGTCTCACTATGCAGCCCTGGCTGATCTGGAATAAGTTGGCCTCAAACTCACAGAGATCCATCTGCCTCTGCCTCTTAAGTGCTGCCATTAAAGGCATGCACCACCATACCTAGCCCTTAAATTAAAAAAAATTAACTACTTTTTATTTTGACATGGTCTTGGCAAATTGTCCAAGCTGGCCTTGAAATTGAAATCTTTCAGCCTCAGCCTCCTGCGTAGCTGGGATTATAGGCCTGTGCCACCAGGCCCTGTTTCTTGAAATACTCATCTTTTGAACCTTCCCACATTTAAAACTGTAAGAACCATTTCTTGCTCACATGACTGTACAGTTTGGACTGTACCAGATTTGTCCTGGGGCTGTAGTTTTTGGACTCTGGTCAGATGCCTTAATATAAAGTACTTGTTCTTCTGTTGTCTACTGTCATTCGGTGTCTGAGCAGCTTTTCTTTCTCTGGAATAAGCTGAAAGGCAGCAGTGGGCCACGGTGGGGGCTGAGGAAGGATACTGTATGTTCCAGGCCAGCCTGGATAACATAGCAAGACATTGTGTCAAGAAACAAAACAAAACAAAAAGCAAAAATAGCAACAACAAAAAACCTTGAAAAGAATGATAGTCAAAAGGTAAAAGGTGGTTGTATTCCATATTACCATTTTTTTTTTTTCTTGAGGCGCAGCCTGATCTGGAACTTGCTTTATAGCCCAGCCTAAGTCTCAAACTGCAGCACTGATTTCACCTCAGTCTCCTTCCTGCTTGGACCTTAGGCATGAGCCACTATGATTGGTTTGTACTAGCATACTGTGAATTTAAGGAACTGACTTAGTTTGTTCTTTATTGCTGTGACAAAACACTCTGACCAATACCAACTTGGGGAGGAAAGGGTTTATTTGTCTTACAACTCCCAGGTCGCAGTTCATCAGGGAGCCCAAGGTAGGAACTCAAGGCAGGAACCTGGAGGCAGGAGCTGGAGCACAGGCCATGGAGGAACGCTGCTTACAGGCTTGCTCTCTTGGCCCCTGCTCAGCCTGCTTTCTTATGCAACACAGGCCCACCTGCCCAGGGGTGGCACCACCCACAGTGGGCTGGGCCCTCCCACATCACTCATCAAGAAGATGCCCTTCAGACATGGCCACAGGCCAGTCCAATAGAGGCAATTTCCCGATTGAGGCTCCCTCAACCCAGGTGTGTCAAGTTGACACTAAAGCTACCCAGCACAGGAACTCTACTTGTAGCCAGGCCTGGTGGTGCACATAATCCAAGTACGGCAGAGGCAGAGGCCAGAAGCCAGAAGCCAGAGGGCAGAGGCAGAGAGCAGAGGGCAGAGGCCGGAGGGTGGAGGGTGGAGGGTGGAGGCCGGAGGCCGGAGGCGGAGGCAGAGGCAGAGGCAGAGGCAGGCTGATCTGTGAGTTTAAGGTCAGTCTGGTCTACTTAGAAAATTCCAGACTAGCCAGAGTTACATAGTGAGACCCTGCCTCAAAAAACTATCACCCCCCGCCCCGGCCCCAAAAGAACTCTGTACTCTGCTGTGAACTGAGCTCTTATCCCTGAGCAACAGGGTGGGAAGAAGAGCTGGGATTCTGCCTTTTCATTCCTTCTCTTCCCTCAGCCTCCTCAGCACTTCAGTTTGATCTTCTGCCTTGATCAAATCTTCTGCCTCTGGCAGTCCCCCTACCTCCACCCAACCAAGCCCTTCCTTCCCAACCTGGCACAAGCTCCTTCTAGGGCTTGGGTAGGTCAGGGAAGGAAGGATCATTGTCCCATTGGAGAGCGTAAGAGTGCTTAGTGGAAGTTCAAGGCCAGCCTGGACTACATAGGCCACCTGGGGCTACAGAGAGACTCTGTCTCAAAAAGACAAAAAAAGTACCTAGTGGGATGCTGGGCCGTACATGCCCTACAGAGGTAAACATACCTGGGGAGAGCCAGGCAGCAGGCTGGGACTGCCCTTCTCTAGTCTGTTTAGCAGCATACTTCCTTGGATATCATGGGTGTTGCTAGCAGCTGGTTTCTGTCTAGTCAGATCTGTCATCTGATAGCACCCCTGCTCTGGTAAACTTCCATGGGGGAACTTGCTGCATTCACTTAGTTTTGTAACCCATTTCCTTGTGTAGTTGAGGTCTGGACAACCTTCCTCAGAGTTGAGAAAGCTGTTGAAGCATTAACGGTTGACAGCCTGTGTCTTTCCTCAGCAGCCAGCAAAGCAGTCAGCAGAGCAGTCACGAGGATGATTCCAGCAGGTTCCTGAGTCCCCGGGTGCGTGAAGAAAGGTAAGCTCAAAGGAGGGGAGAGGATGGGAGAAAAAGAATGGCAAACGGGGTGAACTGCTTGCATAAGACTGCTTCTGCTGTGTGTGAAAGTTCTGCGAAGTGGAAGGGGAGTAGAGCATCTGCCCTCCATGCCTAGAGGATGGTTGGAAAGATAGCATCTCCAGAGAGAGCAACACCAGGGCCGAAGCTCCTAGAGGTTGGGTCTGGCATGGCCAGTTAGGGAAAAGGAATTTTGTTTTGCTTGGTTTTTGTTTTTGGAAAAGGTATTTTGTACATGAAGAATTAGAATGTCTGGGATGGGCACATGTGGCCTTGGATGGCAGCAACCCAACTGCCTTTAGAATGGAGTGGATTGTGTGTGGTGGTGGTTATTGGAGATATAGAGGCTGCAAGGGAAATGTGGCAGCTCTTATATGCCTGGTTGAGAATTTGAGAGTCAACTGCACTAGGTATGTGGGGATCAGCCAGGATCTGTTTCATGTAGAGCTGGGTATAGACAGAGATAGATTTGTTCTAGACATGGATGATGCATGCCTGTATCCTGGCACTGAATAGGAAGATCCCTGAGAGCACAAGGCCAGCCTGATCTACATAGTCCCAGGCCAGCCTGAGCTGTTTATATATGGAGACACTGTCCAAACAAACAAACAAACAAACAAACAAACCCCAAATCATTTCTTAAAGTGTAATATTGCCCAACTTGAATTTTATGTGGAAAAGAACATGGGGATTTTGTTTACCAACCACATAATAAAACACTATCATAACTCTATCAACTGGTTTGTCTCTGTCTCTCATCTCTCTGTAGACCAGGCTGGCCACAAACTCACAGAGTGCTGGGATTAAAGGTGTGTACCACTACATCTGGCTGTCTTGAGAGTCTGTCCAGTATCTCCTGGTCCTTGTGCCTGCACTTCCCAAGTGCTAAGATTATAGGCGGGCCCCACTGTACCCTTCGCCAAATGGTCTTTGAAGAGTGTATTTGTCTAATTGTAGTCTATGAATTTGATTAGATCTGGTGTATTATGACCAGTTTTTTCAAAATGTGTGTAAGAGCTGAGAAGAGAATGGCTAGGAGACTGTTACCAAAGGGCTGGTTGATGGTAAGGGGCTTAGGCTAGAAAAGAGGTTTAGGGTGACTATAATGGCACTCTTTTTTGAGACATAGTCTCACTACCTCTGGCTGGCCCCAAACTCACTATGTATCAGTTGTCATTGAATTTAAAGATAATCTTTCTGATTCTGGAATGTTGCTATTATAGGCGTGGATCACCATGCTCAGCTTAACAGCACTCTTTATATATGAAATCCTGCTGGATAAAATCAGAATAGAGTAAGTTATAGTAAGAAAGATTTAGCTCAGGTTAGAAAAAAATTTCTGTGATTAGCATCATGTGGTAAAATGGGCCTTGCAAAGTAATGTACTTCCCCTCCATAGACGAAATCAAGCCAAAGCCAGGTGATGAGTCAAAACGGATCCTGTCCTGGGCCCAAGTTGGCAAGGTCTCTCTAAATTTAATGTCTGCTTTATAAAGTCTTTTGAGTTCTGCCCAGTTCTCAGTTTTGTTTCCATTATTAGCCAGTGAGGGGTTCAGTTCATCAGTTTGGATGGAGTGAATATGGAGATATGGGGCCCCCAAAGGGCAGAGACTAAGTTGGATAATTAGTCAAAATACTTAATCAGTTTTGATCTGAGGGCAGCTCTTTCAGTCCCCACAGCAGCCTGTGCACTATCTGTGAAGATTTCTGGATTCTCAGCATCCATATGCTTAAAATAAAGGATATAGAAACCCCAAGCCAGCTCCTTTCTCCGTGCTTGTGGGCCAAGCATCTTAGGGAGTATGTTGTGCATTTTTGACCTTGATGTCTTTGGTTGTACATCCCCTTTGGGTCTATGATTGCCAACCCATCTCCATTTCATGTTATCTCTGCTGCTTGGGGCATTACTGGGGGAGTGAATTCAGTGCTAAACTGCATGGAACCCTGATAATACTTTGCCCAGGTCACCTGTCTCTTGTAAAATGTTGCTAGTTAGATCTGCCTTTGATTGACTATTTATGTATGAACATTGATATAAATTATATTCATCTTATCAGATAACTTCTGCCTCCATAGACATTTCTCTAAATTCTTCCCTAGACCTCTCTTCCCTGTCTAGAACCTGCTCCATCCCCTGAACTCTTCATGGCAGATGTGGACGTCGTTTGCCTCAGCTTGCTTTGGGCATATGCAACATGTGGCTAGAAGCTAGATTTCTGTGGCAGTCCCTGTGGGTGCCCCCACCCTAGACACTCAGGGTGGGTCTGTTTGCCACGGCCTCTCCCAGTGAAGTCTTCTTTGGTTCCTTCTGGAGGGTTTAGGCCACATTCTGTACTCAATTCTTCCTTTAATACAATCACTTTAGAGTTTCTCAAGGGCATTAAGAACACTGAGCCTATGGAATGAAATCTGAGCCTCAATCAGGTGTTTTGGTGCAGGACATTAATCCTAGCACTCAGGAGGCAGGCAGATTGCTGTGAATTCTAGGCCTGTTTGGTCTACATAGTGAGTTCCAAGCCAGCTGGGGTATTGTCTCAAAAAACAGTAACAGGGGCTGGAGAGTTGGCTCAGTGGTTAAGAGCACTGCCTGCTCTTTCAGAGGACCTGGGTTTGATTCCCAACACCCACATGGCAGCTGATAACTGTCTGTAACTCTAATTCCAGGGGAATCCGATACCCCCTTCTGACCTCCATGGACACTGCATTACATGGGTGCACTTATATACATTTGGGCAATACAACTCATATACATTAAATAGAAATAATAAATGTTAAAAAGAACCCAAAACCAAGTGAAAAAGAAGTTTGAACTGAAGATTTTTCAGTAGTAGTGAGGATGCAGCTCATGTTCCTTAGGCTGGACTCGCGCATGTGTGTGTGTGTGTGTGTGTGTGTGTGTGTGTGTGTGTGTGTGTCTGCCTGCCTGCCTGCCTGCCTGTCAGAGGCCTCTCAGAGGCCAGAGGTCACCCTTTCGTGTTTTTCCTCATCATTCTTTCTTTTGCTTTTGGAGATTGGGTCTCTCATTGGCCCAGAAGTCATCAGTTACCCTAGGCTGGTCTGCTAGGCAACCCCAGGAATCCACCTGTCTCCGCCTCCCCATTGCTGGCTGTGATTATAAGCACTGGGCTTTTGGAGATTGACCTCAGGTGCTTAAGTTTGCATAGCAAGCATTTTTCTGATTGAGCTATCCACCCCCTCAGCCCTCTTTCTCTGGGCCCTTTGGACCGGCGGTGCACTGTCTCGTGAATAGCAGTATTTCCAGTACTGGTGAAGCTATCCAGTAATCCTATTTACTCTCTGCCACTCTGGGAGGCAAGTGGAATGGGTATCAGACACCCAGAGTGGCCAAGGAGGAGGCAGATGTTATGCACAATGTTCTGCACTGCTTCTTATGCGCCAGACCATGTGACCAATTGTGTCATGAAAGATTGTTTCATAGAACAGACAAAATTAACATTGATTAAAACTATAGTTCTTTAGACTAAGATGATCTTTTAGCTGGCTTAATAAAACATTGATTTGTTTTCTTTTTGGCTCTTCATGAAGCTCAGGGTGGACATAATAGAGACGAGATAACTGCCTTGCTTCTCAGTGTCGCATCACTTGACAATCACTAGGTGATTTCCTCATAGTGTGGCCATCCTGAAATTTGCTTACACAAAATGAGATGGCTGTCACACCTCTAGGTGATCATTGACAAATGTCCTCATGCATCTTGTGTCTTAGTAACAGAAATGTGCTATGTGGTCAAGCCTATGGTTTTCTTCCTCATTCACACCATGTTCTGTTTTTTTGGGGGAAGATTGTGGAACTTAGGCAGGGAAAGAGGGTGACTTGATGCAGAGCAACAGTGATTTCCTGGGCAGCTGTAGCATCAGGGAGAGGGACTGATTGGGAAATGGGCATTTTCTTAGAAGTACGTATGCTTCTGCCAGGTTTTCAATAATAAGAGAGAACTTCTTTGGAGTGTTGGGGTGTGTGTGTGTATCAAAAATATATATTCTTTCCTCTTATCTATCATCTATTAAACATCTATCATCTATCTATCTGTCATCTATCATCAATCTAGCTATCATCCATCTATCTATCTATCTATCTATCTATCTATCAAACTATTATCTATCTATCATCTATCTAGCTATCTACATCTATCATCTATCTATTATCTCTCATCATCATCGATCTATCTTGTATCATCTATCTACCTATCTACCTATGTATGTATGTATGTATGTATGTATGTATGTATCTATCTATCTATCTGTCTATCTATCATCTATCTTCTGTCTATCATCTATCTATCATCTATCATCTATCTATCTACCTACCTATTATCTGTTTACCTACCATCTATCCATCTACTGGAGCCTGGTTAATCTATCATGTATCATCTATCTACCTATCTACCTATCTATCTATCTCTATCTCTCTCTCTCTCTCTATCATCTATCTAGCTATCTATCTACATCGGGCATCTATCTATCTATCTAGCTATCTAGCTATCTATCTATCTATCTATCATCTGTCATCATCATTGATCTATCATGTATCATCTATCTATCATCTATCTATCATGTATCATCTATCTATATCTATCTATCATCTATCTATCATCTATCTCCATTTTCCTGTGTGAAGCCACAGGTTAGTTGAACCACTGCTCTCCAGGTTCAACTTAAACTAGACCAATTATAGTTTCTCAAGTACGCAGAGCTTTATTTACATTTTCCCCCAATGGTAGGAATGTCTAAACAAAACACAGCTTGTAGGAAAAGGAGCTGGTTTACTAAGGCCCCTTTGTGTATAGCAGGTGAGTTTCAGTACAGTGATCTCAGCTGACCAGAATGTCTTTCAGTAGCAGGAAAGTTGAGATCCAGGGTTGGAGTGCATGTATGTGAGTGTCAAGGCAGGGCTGAAGCATCCTGTTCCTGGGAACACAATGTGCTTCACATCATAGCTAT